AGATCTCTTTGCATGTGCACTATGTAGAGTGTTCTATTGCATGTTACTGCACTTCCAAGAATACTACAGTTGTAACATGATTGTTTTGAGTTTTCATCAGTATTGGCTTCTCTGAAGTTTGGATATTGGGCTTATATTTCTTGTACCTATGACGATCCTAGTACTATAGTTTAAAAACAAAAAACAAATATCACTATGGCTCCACTGTCTTTTCACAAACGCATGAGCCAAACTCCTATATTTTGATAGTTGGAATGAGTAAGTGAGAAAATAAAAGTAGTGATTCATATATATATATATATATATATATATATATATATATATATATATATATATATATATATATATATATATATATATATATATATATATATATATATATATATATATATATATATATATATATATATATATATATATATATATACACACATACACACAGAACACACACACACACACACACACACACACACACACACACACACACACATACACACACACACACACACACACACACACACACACACACACACACACACATATGTTGTTATTTTTGCACATATACATATATATATATATATATATATATATATATATATATATATATATATATATATATATATATATATATATATATATATATATATATATATATATATATATATATATATATATATATATATATATATGTATGTGTGTGAGTATATTGAAAAAAAACAATGTTAAACATAAATAAAACTAATATATATGTTTGTCAATGTGTACCTTTATATTCTTTCGAATACTTCTTTGTACACGACGTTGCTAGTAACACTGGACAACTCACCGGATTCGCTCTTTATTAAAATCTTTATCCCATATCTACTCTTCACTCGAGACAACGCTACGTACAATTGACCGTGACTGAAAACAGGCCTTGGAAGGTACAATCCAACGTGCGAGAGAGTGTGCCCTTGACTTTTGTTGATTGTCATGGCAAATGATATAATCACCGGATACTGACGTCTTTGAAATTTAACTGGCAATGTGGAATTCGAATGTATCAAAGTCATCCGAGGAATAAATACCATGTCGCCAACATTCTTACCGGATAATACTTTGCAACTAATTACATGCATGCCCTGTCTTTCAACTTGGAGACGAGTTCCATTGCATAAACCTCTTGCTTGATCGATATTCTTAATGAGCATGACGGGAACTCCTTTCTTTAATTTTAGCTCATGCGGCGGCAGACCGGAGCACGATATTGTATTGAGAAATTCGGTGGAATAAATTTCTGCATTAATCTCGGAACCTGCTTCGTCCATGCACAGACTGTCAGAGCTCAGGTAAACCTTTTCCTCTTCTTCAATAAGTGACTGACAGATAATCGTTTACATATATAACACTCTCATTTGTAGGCCCCAGAATGGCCCTCCCTTGAAAGAAACCAGGATTGGCAATGTTATTCAACAAATCCGGATCACAAACTGCAGTAGCTCTGAAAAAACATCCAACAAAAATGTGTTGAGCTCCTCTGATTTTCTTAACAGAGGAAAACCTTGAAAGCTTACTATCCAAAAGAACTGAAGATACTCAATTCTTTAATATGGAATTTTTCTATTTTTCCATGCCTTGTGTATTGCCGCCATTTTTCTTCTTTTTTTTATTTTTTTATTTTTTTATTTTTTTATTTTTTTTTATTATTATTTTTTTTTATTGTTGATAAATTTGAAAATACAAAATTCATAGTTTACTTTCTTTATTCTGATATGTTATGATGGTTTTTTCCAAGCTCGAAACTCGACACAACTCTAAAGCTGAAGAAAAGGGGACGATTGAATTGAAAGAATGGATAAATAAAGAAGAACATGATGTATAGTTTTGTGAGAAATAAGAAAAAAACAAATTTGCCCCTCTTGATACCCATGAAACCGGTTGTAAGTCAGATTTTTTAGTCAAAATGTGTAATACGGTGCAAAGTGCCAAGTAAATTGTAACTGGAGGGTGCAAAATGCTATTGTTTCAATTTAAGGGTGCAAAGTGCCAATGACATCTAATTTACGGGTGCAAAGTGCCAATTACCCTGTAATAAATACCAATTAATAATATATTATCAAATATAGATACATCTCTCTCTCTCTATATATATATATATATATATATATATATATATATATATATATATATGTATATATTGACGAAAATCATTGGCAACATTTAAAAAGGAACAAATAGAATGAATAAGTAATCAAATCACCTTAAATAATATATTATCAAATATAGATACATCTCTCTCTCTCTCTCTCTCTCTCTTTCTCTCTCTCTCTCTCTCTCTCT